CCTGTACCTGCTCACCATTACACTCACAAGTTCCCCAGGAGCATATTTTCAACAATCACATTGCTATCCAACTTGCAGAACTACAACCACAACACCAATTTTTGGCATACTCCGGCAAAAGTAATTGCCTTCAGAAGCCCACACAGTTGGCTTCACAATTATGCCGAGCCATACGCACATGGCATCGATACTATGGACTGCCTTACAACCACCAAACTGCAAAGCAGTTTGTATCTGAACAAATACCACAACACAACGCACACTGCAACCAACACAACATACTCCAGGTCAAGATGATCAAGCAAGTCCAACACAAAATACCTTCGGGCATCATCCACTGCGAAGATCACTTCCCGAACCGCCTCACGTGGTACTGCCCAGCACTATATCACACTGCCATACACAACACTTTTTTAGACAAGGAGATCTTTCGGATCTCGCAGCACCAACCTCTACAACACCACTTTGATGTCTACACAGACATCCGCAGCCTTCTTCCAGCTTACATATGGGCTTTTCCACAATGGGGACGCATCCCACGCGCCTACATTTTACCGAAAAGAAAGAAGCAATTCACAAAAGGCCGTCCCATAGTGGCGTTCATCGACACCATGGGCAGGAAATTGTGGGAAGCCTTAGCGGACGTACTGCAGCTGATGACTTTTCAAGCATGCCCAAACTCCTTTCACCAAGGAGATGGCATAACACAGCTCAAACAAACAGCACTCTTCCTGCATCAGCGCAGGAAATTACACGATTCAACAGATTACATCCTGTACAACCAGGATTTGGCTGGCTTCTTTACATCGGTCGATCAGAGCCGGTTTCTTTCAGCATACAGCATTATGGTTCGATGGTACAGAGAAAAGAACCCCCTACACTCTTCCAAATTCTTCATTGACCACTCACAGAAAGACCCCACACATCGAGTCCACAGGGGCAAAAGCAGACAAAAGAAGCAAGAAGCCTCCTCAGGCAACAAACTATGCATTCAATTACAACATATACCACAACTTATCATTGCAGTGCTCCGACTCAACTACTTCACTGTCGGTACATCACTTATTGAGCAATTTCGCGGTGCACCTATGGGCTCGCCCTGCAGCCCAGCCCTATGCAACATCGTTGTTGCGGTCGAGGAACAGTGTTGGCACCACACATACAAACAGCTTTTCACGAACCACAAGCATTTTCCAGATCACAACAAGCAGGATCAAGCTTTCTTTTTTGCTACCAGATACGTCGACAACCGCGTCCTTCTTTTACCTGCACAGCTGACCCGACTGCCTCCTTTTGCACAGCTCACTGATGCATCTTTTTACAAACCACCGGTTCAGCTTGAAACTGAACCGGCCAACATTTTCCTGGGTTTCGCAATAAACCCTCAGCACAGCAGCCTCACGCATCAATGCACTTTGCACAAGGCGGATATTTTGCACCCACAGTCAGCCACCTCTGTTTCAACACTTCGCAGCAGTTTTCAGGCCCGCACACGCATGGTACGCAGAGTGACAACACCATGCAGCGAGGCCACATCAGCCATTCGAGCCATGCGCGATCTCTACATCGCTGCCGGCTATACTGATCAACAGCTGTAAGCAAAACACTGTGCCAGCTTGCCGTGCGTGGGTCCAGAGCCGTGCAATTTTGCAACATGAGAGCAGCCTTGTATTAACACAGTGTTTCCCGCAGCCATTTTCAGGGTTAACTGAGGCATCATCATGTATAAAAGTGCCATGACTGGCAGATTGCAGCCGAGCCACAAAGCGCTGAGCGGCCGTCCTCGGCCATCCATCTCCAAGCACAGCAGACGCCGCAACGAGCAACCTGCGGTGGGCAGCCACAACCCACAGCCGGCGCTTTTGCGCTCTCAGTTTCTACGTGTTGCAGAAGACGAAGATTTCCAAGACTACCAAGAGCAACACCAAGATCCGGAAGAACAACAGGACGCAGCAGTGGCTGCACCGGCGACTCCGCCATTTCCACCTCCGCATCACCCTGATCCGGATTCATCGGCTGAGATTATGGCAGCAATGACGCAGTTTCACAATTCGTTGCTTGAGTCGAATGCCAAACTCGAGCGCCTGATACAACAGGCTACAACGGTGTTGACTACTCAGCACGAGGCTACCACGGCGATCCTCTCCTCGTGCAAACAGCAGCTCGACGTACTTGAAAGCCTCATCAGGCAAAACGCGCCTGATTGGTCGTGAATATGCTGCTAAGGCAAGCCGGTATAAAAAGTGCCAGGTAGTGCATACGTCTCACTTTTCAACACATGTTGCTTTCAGACACATACCATAACTCTGCCTTCTGAAGTTTTGCCTCACAGTGACACCTATTTGAATCCCGACATCGAGCCATGAGCGACTCACCTCTTCCGCCAAACACAGCGACTACAGATTCGCCACCCGTCGATGAGGCACGACGTGAAGCTCTCTCCGCAGCCCTCATGGAGATTTTGACACAGCATCGGGACTATGAGTCCGAAACCGGAAATGAACCTTCCACATTCAGTGACGAGGCTCTACGCGACCAATTAGCCGAGTTTATTCTGCAAACAACCCGGCAGATTACAGAGCTAAAGCAACGAGTGGAAAGACTCGAAGCTTCGCAACAATAGGTGATCAAACATGTCTTATACCACCATTGGGTGATTGCAGCAGACGGTGAAAACAACAATCGTTGTTTTGCCAAGTGAGACAGTCAGTGCACTCTCTTCACATGTGTTTGTATGCAGCGATTGATACACTCTTTCCCGCAGCATTTTGCAAAACAACCAGTTGTGTTAGCACCATGGACCAACGCACCAGATCGCGATCTCCCACGGCATCACAATGGAGATGGCACTGGGCCACTAACGGCTCTTCATGGTGGCGTGAGTACTTCATCGCATCTGCAGAGTGGATACGAAAGCATTCGGAGCAACCTGATCAGCTTCCGACATCAACGACTCCTACCCAAAAGGAGCCAGCTTCCACTACATCAACTCCTACATCCAACAAGAGAAAGCGATCAAGAACTCCGTGAGCAGCATCGCTGAGTTGACAATTAGATGCACATTTGCTGCCCCCGGCAGCCAACAACCACACAGCAAAGCTGTGCTGTGAACCCCATCATCCCTGATGAGGGTCAACATTAAGAGCACCATGTTGAAAGGTCATGCCAGCCGGTGAGGTTGCCCAAGTGATGTATCTTTGTACATCTCTCTCTCTTTTCTGAAGATCAGCGTATGCACACGCCTTAATGCAGTTGTGACTCCGCAGCCATTTCTCAGAACTACAGTTGTTGAAACATATTTAGGATCGCACACAGATGGACGAAGACGACGACAGCAGCCTATGGGGATCCGAAGAGATTGATGCCTTTCTGAGGAAGGATGACACCGCCACATCCTCCCATGCAGTCAGTCACACACACAAGCAAAAAACAAAGCACACAACGAAGACAAAAAAGAAGAAAGACAACAAAGACAAAAAGGACAAAACAGTCGTGAAAACAAAGAAAACACGCAACATCTCACCAACATCCCAATCCACAACACAGCAACAACGCCAACATCCACATACTACAAGACGAAAGAGGACACGCTCTTCGCACTCAACATCATCAGCGTCATCTACGGCAACGTCACACATGGCTGAGGACGCACACCGATCTCCATCGCGAGATCCGTGGTCTTCTGACTCGATTGCACCTTACGATATTGTACATCCTATTATTCAGCATAAGCGGTCCAAAACCGCTTGTGCAAAAATGCTGGTACGTGCAGGTTTCAGATGTAGATGCCATTTCAAGATTATGAGTGACTGTCCCAACAAACTCGCTGTTGGATCCTAATACTCAGGATGGATTAGGGCTGCAAGATCCGCTAAGCGTGACAAAAAGCCTTCGCATGCGAGTGTCAGCACGACACCACTTGGTTGTTTCTCCTGAGCACACAGCATGTCCATGTTGGTTTGCATTCCTTGTTCAAGCGTTTGTCGGTTGGTAGCAGCAAAAATATGACAAAGCGAAAGGCTGCCGAGGCCGGCCTTCCATGGTACTCCATGGCAGGACAATGTTTTCGGATGACTGTTGAAATTCCACCCGACCGCATCACCAGAGACAAGCACATGCTCTTACACGTGGTGCTTTGTCTGGGTGACAACGTTCTACAAGCTCGCAAGATCTTCTCCTACCGCATCAAGGAGATCACCGGCAGAACTCCTAAAATCCCAGCTTTCTTCTTCGAACAAAACCGTCGACGACTACATGATTGGGATTCAGTCACCACATTAGCCACGTTGAAGCCGGTGCTTTTTGTTAGAACCTGTTCGGATCAGGAAATACGACAATCACCCGACCGCTAGTGACAGCGAGAAAAGTGCGCCACTCACTCTTTTTGCCACGGATCAGACATTTCACTCTACTTGAAGCATGCACGCCCCATTGGGGCTGTGTGTGTGTGAACCTCCCTAGCACATGGGAGCAGAGGGTCACTCCTACACTGTTTGCAATTTTTGCTTTGCAACTCAATCAGACATTTGACATTTACCGAATCAAATGTTGCAGGGGAGTGCGGCATGGCTGTGGGACCGCACTCAACGAAGCTACCACAGTCATGGGATACCGAGTCTGATCAACTCGGCGTACCTGCAAAACCTTGAGCTGGGGCCCCTGTGCCAGCCCGATTAGAAGGCCCCTGTGCCAAGATTAGAGAGTTTTCAGTTACCACTTTTGGCGGTTGATTTGACAACAAACAAGCTGTACGGTTGCCACAATCTGACAAGCTTTTACAACTTGAACAACATGCCTCTCTTTTTCCTCTTGCACTCGTACTCTTGGCCGAATCCATCAGTGTGTGCGCGCGTGTGGCAAGTAGGTAGACCGACAGTGATGATATCAGGAACTCTACACATAGTTGCAGTGCTGCTAACGGCAGCAGAATAGACAGCAGCCAGTGCCATAATAATTGGAACAACTCATCACGCAGCAGCCGCAAGCTCAAGGCGGGCCACTCCGAGAATGTCCACCTGATGAGCAACTCCTCGGCTCCTCCTGCGCCAAAGGTGCAATCCACTGACCTTTTTCGGGTTTGGGGTTTCTGGCAGCTAAAGGAGATGTAAGGCTAAAGGGTTTGAGCTTTAAGCATTGAGGCTCCCGGCTTCAAGACTTTTGGGCTGAAGGCTCTGCGAAATCGCCAAACACAGGGACCAGTGTCCTCCTTGCTCAAAGGCTCTCTACCATCCTGCGAAGTCTTGAACCCGAACGCCAAGGGCAGAACCCAAGAGCATTCATGCCATGGTACAACCACTTAAGGAAAGGGCCTGAATAATCAGAAAACGGTCTCGGGGCCCACTATACTATAATTGTAAGAAGGAACCCGCAAAATAGTAATAGGTGATTATAAAAGGCCCCTACAGTACAGTAAAAGGCTCCGGGGCACTCCTTCGAGCAGCTTCCCGAGAAACAGAGGCAGCGATGAGAGCCCGTCCATGATCTTTTCCGACCTGCCGGGCTCAGTGCAGAGAATCGGCTGACTGTTTCAGGAACGGTGCAGATTCTTCGATGGATTTGCTGGAGTCGCTGACCTCGCCTGAGCATGCGCCTCTCGGCCAGTCGAGACCACTGGCGGTCAACCACTTGGCGCCAGAGGTTGAAGCAGACCTACAAATAGCTCTGATGACGATCAAACTTCGGTCGGTTGTAACCACTCGTGATCCGATCCACGCTCCTAGGACAACCTCGAAGCTGCCATGCAGGTGGGCTTGTCTTCTTTATGTGAAGCACCTCAGCGAGGTCCGCCTCCATTTTGAAGTGAAGGAACACCTCATACCAAGGCAAAATTAGCGCAGATTAGCAGACCGAAGCTGACATTCAACGACAACTTTTGCAGAACAACTGTCAGCGAAGCCAGACGTTGCGTTCACGCAAAACGGTACGCAGGAATGCAGAAACCCCTGCCAGCATACCCAAACTCCAGTGCTAAGCCTTCAAAAGCCAGGCAATCCGCCTGCATCCGATCCGTACGCCGGCGCGCCCGTACCTTCGCACGCCAGTCGAAAACCGCCGCCTGTGTCAGACAGCTTCGGGAAGCTTCGCGGCACACGGCACATGTATGGGGGTGGCCCGGTGCCTCAAAGAAATCTACTTGCAAGGCTTCTCACCACCGGTAGGATCCAGCAGGACCCTGAAATTCTCATTCGGCCGAAAGACTGCGACTAGGACCACTGCCTTTCCTACGACACCGGCAGCAATAGGTGGCACGTACTCGCGCAGAGCCAATTACCACAACCGGCCATGCTATAACTTACGATGTATCAGCTGACGAGCTGTGGTGGCACATAGCAGAATTGAATTCTATAGCATGTGCGATATGCAGTCGAAAAGGAAAAACCTACCTAATAGACAGTACTGTCTCGCCTTGCAGAAATATTGGTCTAAACACGACTTCATCAGAAGAAACCCTCTAAGAAGGGAACATGCAGCTTAAACTCTTTATATGTAAACAATTAGGTTCCTCGAACTGCTCAGTCACACATAGGCTAAACGATCGGATGAAGAATCTTGACATTGCAACACAACATGCGACTGTGGAAGATTAAGTACATACCAGACACGGTCTCCATCACAATATACACAGCTTTATGAGAATATCGAGGGCGAGCCTGTTTGAAAATGCAAGAAGTATGGTCCATGATACCTAGAAGCAAACATTAGATGTGATGTTGTCTCATATGAGACCTACTCAAACAAACCATCCAGCACTCGTGTAAGTGCGTCCACCCAATCCAATACTGTCGTTGCAGTCCATGACAGTGCTGCTCATACTCAGTGCTGCACAGTACTCCGTGGCAGCATACGACACCAGATTTCAGCGTCAACAGAATATGTTGATATGATCTTAGTAAGTACTGTCAGAGCTGCCTTCCTTTCCATGACACAAGCCATAGGCCTTAGAGATACAGTAGAATGGTAGATTTAGTTTAAAGCCACGCCGTACGGCTTTAAGTGTCACGGAACTTGAAGAGCGGCTTTGGTGCCTGCAGCAGCTTGCGCTGCACGTCCCAGTCGAGCAGCTTCTCTGCGATCCTCAGCTTGCTGTCGCACGAACCAACCGTCCCAAGTAGGACTGGTGCTGAAAATCATTCAGCGGGCAACGAGCAAATTTCTTGCCAACATGACATGCGTCCGAGCGGCGACGTGCCACGGGCCTTTCCCCTGGCGAAGGCTAGCAGTGCCCGGCGCCCATCCAGGAGGCTTGCCTCTGGCTGCGTGTCCATGAGCACCTGCTTCACGTTCTCCCAGGCCGTGGTTCCCATCTGAGCATTGAGAAACGGACTTCACACGTTCTTGCCCCAATTCCCCAACTTTGGCAGTGCATCTCCTGCCTGGCGCTGAGCAGATACCTCTGTCCGGAGATCGCTTAGCTCCTGGCACGACTGTGGGAAAACGAAGGATGGGCCTTTGGGCTAGTTTGGTGGCTGGACTCTAAGACCTCAACGTGAACGAAGCCTACAGTAACTTTCCGAGAGTGCACACTCACTGAAAAAAACACTATCATTCCTAACAATACTACTGATTTGTCCGCCCCGGTGCCAGAATCAAATTCGAACAGTGCAATTCAATTCGAGTTGTGCTCCCATCGAAACTATTTCGAGTTGTGGCCGACTCGAACTCAACTCGAATGCTCTCGAACTCGAAGTGAACTTGAGGATAGAGGGGGTGGCGGGGGCAAGAGGGGGAAGATCCTCAATCCAATTCGAAAGCTGTGAGCTCGAACTCTGTTAGAGTCGCCCCCTCGCCAGATTTCTAGTTGCCGCCCACTCGAAATCAATTTGAGCGACTGTCGAGTTAAAGTTGGGATGTCCCCCGAGCATCTTCCAGGATTTGTTCTAGGGTTCGTGGACTCATGCTGGGCCGTCCTGACAACCGGGAGGTAAGGGGGTGGTGTGAACCCCCCCCTTGACTCATCCATGCTGACCCTAAATCATATTTTCGTTTCATTGCTCCATACCCTCGAATCGCGAGCCTACACCCTAACCAGGTTCCTACAAATACACTAGTTTCATTTGTGTTCGCGATTCTGCTAGACCCAGAAGCCTAAAACCAAAAACCTGCCTTTTCTACTCACATACATAAATGTCCCGGGAGTGTCAATTCAACACTGCTTAGCCCTTGACCCTGCACCCAAAACTCACACCTCAGTGGCTTCTTGCCAGAGCTCCATCCATGCAACATGTTGAAAAACACACAATTAAAGTAGCATGCATAAACTCCTCCTACTGCCGATAGAATCTGTTTGCTTGCAAGATCTCATTCCATGAAAACTATTGGAAGAAGAAACCTTCCAGAAACTTGTCTTCCTGCCGGCCAGTTAAACTTTTAAGAGGCAAGAGTCCCAAACCGTAAGCCCAAAACTGAAAAATCTCCCAGTATTGCCATGCTGTAGCTTAGAAGTTACCCTGAAGGCCATGGAAGGTCCTGCTCAGCCTCAGAGAGCTGCTTCCGCAGCTGGCAGCGCAGCTCCGGGGCCTCAGGAACCTGCCAGGTGTGATAACATAGTTTAACAAATGGTAGTATAGTATACCATACTACAATATATTATAATATCATATGTTATGTTCACGGTTCCACGATTTTTACCAAGGAGAAAGGTTGTTCATTGAAAGCTTGTGCCCTTCTTTCACCGATGCCGAGCAAGGGATGAGGGGGTTAGGGTTTAGGGACTTCGTCATCTGGCTGCGCAGTGTTTGTACGTCGTCTAAACAAAAGCATTTGGAGCTCTAAGCTCTAAATTTCGAAATTTTGGCGAGAGCTTGTGTCCTCATACGGCACACGCTCGGAGAGCGTGAAAGAAACAGGGAAACACAGGGTTCAAGAGCAGATGGCAATGTCAGATGCTTATGCGGTAGCGGACGGGACCATGAAACACCAGTAGTGCATGGGGAGCGGCCCAAAAAACTGTAGAACCAATGATCCCAAAGGTCAAAGCAGAAATGATACCGCCGTCAACAGAAGCATCACGAAAGATGCGCAGTGTGGTCGAGGCACTGAATACACTAACATAACTCATTTGCTGATTGTCCTGGCAACATCCATTTTTATCACCCTGACTTCGGAAGCTTCGGCTATCCTGTGGCTCAGAATTTGAACCGCCAGGTTGCCACTCACGCAGCAGTGAGAACGCAACTTCAAGAGTACTCATAGAAGGGAGATTCATTCGATTCCAAGAAACACGGGGCTGGAGTCTGCAGGGGCCTCCAATCTGCTCATGCGGCTCCTCGTGGCCGCGCACGGGCTGCTGCCGTAGGTGAGAAGGTCCGTGAGGCAGAAGTTCTCTCCCTCCTCAGTACAATGTCAAACTCTGAGAACCCAGCCCTGAAGCTCGGATAACGAGGAGCTCCTGGCTTTAACCTCCCCCGCCACAGAGCTAAAGCTGCATGAATCTTAAGCAGAATCAGCGGGGCTCAATGTGCCGAAGGTTGCGGCCACCCTGAAGGGCTTCGTCTTCGCTGCGGAGCCTCGTCAGCTCTGTGGCCTCGAGAGTCCATCAAGAAAGTCTCTGGGATTCGGGGTTTTAGGATGTTGTGGATTTCGGGGTAACTCTGCACCGTGGTATGGCCTGCTGAGTCAGCTCGTTGCTAAGCAGCAAGACCTCGGCTTTCAGACAGAGTGACCATCGCACTGCTGAAAGGTGCCAGGTGCGAAGGTGCCAAGTTCGTCGGAAACGCGAGCTAGGTTCAAAAAAAAAACAATACAAGGTGACATGCACAACTCCTCATTACCTCTAGGTGTCTGCATAGATGCAAGAGTGTGACTGTGAAGCAGGCCCAACCAGAACCTTCATTTCTCCCCCCGCCTCCCGCTCCATCTCGTCGATGAGCTGTGAGGCGGCGTCCCGTCGGATCTTCAGCTCTTTGAACCTGCCGCAACCGCGTTGAAGGCAAGCTCTGGTCGGGCACCGGGCCACCGGTACACCGGTGATCACAGGTACCGATCTGTCTGTTGCCCCCCCTATGCCAGAACAGGGTTTAACTGGCGAGTTTGAATTTGCATGCAGCTCTTGCACAGCTCTCTCTGCGATTCGCCCTTCGACCCCTAGCCCTAAACTCAGACCTCGAGACACCAGAGTCCAACCCTACCCCCTACCCCGCCTGCGCTTCATTAAGAACCGGGCCGAGGGCTCTCGGCGGCAGTCAAGCCCGAGGCGCTGCATCACGCTGCCTAGGGTCCCCAGGAGCTCTGGGCTGAGAGCAGCTCTGTTCATAGTATAATATAACACAGTTTAATAAAACATAGTAGAATATACCATACTATAACATATGATAATGTAATGTGTTGTGTTCAGGATTCCATGGGTATAGTAAGGCCTGCGTACCGTGATAGCCGTTCTATCCTTTCAGTCTCGCTCTGTTGTCCAGCATCCTCTGGCGCCTCGATGCGATAGGCGAATATAGGCTACACAACGCATAGATAAGTGTAGACGTACTTCCACTGATTCATACCAAAGGTTCGAGGCGGTGGTGCACTCGTGGAAACAATCGGAAAAGTGTGCCTCAAGCTGGAGAAAGAAGCCTGCTTGTGTCTTAGCTCTCATTAGATCACCAGGCGACGTTAAAGGTGGAGGGAGGTTTCAGGTCGCGAAGGCTACCGTAAAATTACTGCGAGGTGCTATAACGCACCCTTCAAAGTTGACGATACGCATTACTCTAGGGGCTTACCATCAGGGTTGCCATAAGATTTACTGTGCGGGTCACCGGGGGGATTCCTGACAAGGCTCCTGCATGGTTTACCTTATGTAAGGGCGACAAAAAGGCTTACTATAAGGTTTACTGTAGCGCTTAAACTCCAGAAAGAGGGAACAGGATTTATGGTTCTTGGCTGAAACAACAGAGGACAGCTTGTTGCAGATCGGAGATGCGGAGCACTGAGGTGTTTCCGAGGCCACCTTGGCATGGGAGAGAAGTTGAAGCTTAGGGCTTCGGGTGTTTGGGGGCGTTGCGGCTTAGGGTCTATGGCTAATGAAGGGTTTCAGGCTTTAGGCTCATTTATTTAGGGTGTGGGGTTTAGGACCTTAGGAACTTGGGAGCCTCCACACAGAAGGCTGTCGAGCTCCTCCTTGCCCTGCGGTTCTTGGTCTTCGGCCGCCTCACCTGGCTCGAGCTCTTATGCTGGAGCTAAACCCTAAAACCCCAAATCCTAAACCCCTAAACCCCTAAACCCCAAACTTCGGAACCCCTAAACCCTCAACCCCTAAACCCGAAACCCTCAAACAAACGCTAGTTTCAGATCCACGCTTGCAGCAAGAGCCGTTGCCCGGGCCTGGCGTCCGTGAGCAGGCCACTCTCAGCAGCTGGCCAAGCCGATCGGCTCGGGCCTACAGCTGCCCCGAAGGAGCGCAGTATCTCGAATAGATGCATGTATCTGTACATCTACAGATGTACACATACATGCCTGCATGCCTGCATGCATGCATGTTTATACAATTTATACATGAAAGTAAATATACAATATAGGCATATGTGCGCGTGTACTTGATACTAAACCTAGGGTCATCCTGTGAAACTCCTCAATGACTCGTCACGACTCTGGGAATGTTCGCAGACAAGGGCTACTACAAGGAGGACTGCGGCAGATACAAATTCCATGGTCGTTTTCCCGCGTGCTGCTCTTGGCATGGGTGTGGTTCTTGTGGTTTTGTCTGCTACTGCTGTACTTGCAACATCGCTATCGCTGCCATTCCTTACCAGTACCAGAAATCAACAACCTATTGTTACGACGCATCAGAGAGAGTGGGAGAGAGAGAGAGAGAGAGAAAGAGAGAGAGAGAGAGCCAGCCAGAAGAAAGAGAGACGGAGCTAAACAAGACGCAGTGGCCCAAGCACAACAAAGGGCAACCCTGTGTTTCCAGAGCAGGCAATATGAAAGGATCTGGGCAACCGCAGCGAAAGCAGGCATGGCTGAGATCACGTTGACTTTTGTTGCCTGTTGGGCTTCCTGCTGTTGCTAACAGCTCGATGGGCACAGCCCCTTTGATGTTGCACGGTTCTGGCAGAAGCACGCAGTCGCTGGACTGAAGCTGCTGCTCCGATGCAGATCCTTGGTGGGCTCCCCGTTGCATACATGTCAATCCCAACAAGAATCCCCACTGGCAGAGACTTGCCCCACATGGGCCTTCTGAGAAGCAGAGTCCTCCTTCAGCCTCGTGGAGGCGTAGGACGGCAGGGGCTTGGTGTCAATGCGCTGCCTTGTGCTCTCTTCAGAGGTTGCAAAAACCGTCGACACACTGAACGGGAACAACAAAACTGCAACTGCCTCTAGCACCTGGGCTAAACTGGCTTGCGCTACGCCAAGCACATTCGGCACGTCATAGCACCACACCTTCTCGGAAACTAGCTCACTCTTGGCTATGCCAGTGCCGAGCTTGCCTGTCTAACCTGCCCGGTGCTCTGTGCACACCTACGTCTGTCACATTGGTTGTTTCGATTTTGCTGGGCCCAGATGCTCAAAGCCGAAACGAAGTGCAGATCCATGCCATGAGACTCTCTCCCCACTGGGCCCTGCACGTCCAGATTTCACCGGAAATTGGCACTTCTTCCCAGTCCTCGTGCACCTCCTCTGCCTTGGAAGCTATGTGCACGCATTAAGCTTTGTCCGGCATACAAACGAAACTCACTTCAAGATGCCTCGCCGTCATCTGGAGGCGCCATATCGCCGACAAAAGACATGCCGATGGCCGCGGCGCTACACCCTAACTTACACCTCCGAGTGTGCAAAAGTCATAGAGCTTGGTGTCCTGTCCGTTGGTAGATAATGATACAACAACCCGTCTAGACTATGCCATGCGTTATTGCGAACCTTGGAGAACCTCTCCTCCCTCTAAACTTCCTAAACCTCCTTCGATTTGGATATGTCCCGCTTGTTTCCGCGATGTCAGTGGGCCGCAGCTGTCCCACCGGCCACTCCTGTTCCGATTGATGTATGTCAGGGGACTACGGCACTGAAGTATCACATTCCATATGTCCGAAGCATCCAGCACAAATCGGGCATCAGCGGATACATACCCGACTGCGCCTGCATTCACGAACGCGAATCTTTCCGCGCGTGCTTGCACTCATGTTTGTTTGGCATGTTCTCGTGAGTGTCGGCGCACGAGTGCACTTCCATCCATCCCTCCATCCCTCCATCCCTCCATCCATCCCTCCCTCCATCTATCCATCCGTCTCTTCCTGCATGCATGCATGGATGCATGTATGCCTAGTTGCCTATGTGCACATACTAGTATGTGATCCGCGTACATGCGGGCATGCCTGCGTGCTTACTACGGAAATAGGAGATAGTGCCTTCGAGGTAAAAGGATTCCAAACGACCAAAAAAGGCAAAACATCCGAGCTCTACACTTCCACAAACCTGAAGCACCTAGACCCCGACCTTAGTCACAACAACGAGGCAGAATTGTCCCTGCTCCTTTCAGAAAGTGGCGCTCCAGTGAACCGTGGCCATGGCAGGGCTGAACAAGAATGTATGTTTTGGAGGGGTTTGGGGCTTCAAGGTTTCGGGATTGCGGGTTCAGGGCTTCGGGGTTGGGTTCAGGGGCTAAGGTCTTCAGCTTGAGGGTGAGGGTTGAGGGGTCGGAGCTTCAGTTGAGGCTCAGAGCAGTCTGCTTTCCTAACTCTCGCACGCTGGCAGTTTGGTGAGGCAGTTGCATGCTTGAAGATGTCATGGTCGAAACACTGAGCAACAAGGGCCGCGATTAATTCAAGATAACACAGAAGAACGCCAGCAATGACCTCGAGTGATGCAACTTGCAGAGCCTCCTCATCGCTCTTGCAGAGGAGCGCATCGAGACCTGAGGACCGCTTCCAAAGGAGGCGGATTCAGATCTCCTGCGACTCTTCGACTCAGACACAGTGGTAGCTGAGCGACCTGCAGCCTTTCTCCACCACTGCGTCGAAGGGCCTCCAGTCCTGGAGGAGCGGCCCTTCTGCTTCCAGCCGGGCAACATTCGCCACCTGAGAGCCCAGGTGCTGAGCGAAGTAGAAACCAGAGAGCAAGGGAAGTTCCGGCCTTCCAATGCAGGCCTTTCTGGCCACCGTGCCTTTCGCACATCAAGGATGTGCAGCTGGCACCTCGTCGTTGCTGTGGAGCTTCGCGCATGCAACCCTGCCTTCTGTCAAGACCGTCGCAACTGAGCAGTGGGCTGGAGTCCAGGCTAAGGATCTGCAGCCCGGGCACCTCACAGTGGCCAAGAGAGACATCCAACCCAGCGTTTGGGACTGTAGCTTCCAAGGCCAAAACCTGGCCCTGAAGGCGAACTGGAAGTAGGGACCTGGTGATCGCAGAAGTTGCGGCAAATGAACCAAGTTGCTTTCCTCCGAGTCCTGAGCATTCCGCCACCCGGATGGAGAATCCTCCCAGCCTGGAAGCAGCTGTCGAGTTGCCGCTTCCGCTAGCTCATCTTCTAACCTGCCTCTGGCAGATGGGGCTTCAAGAGCTCAACCAGAAAGTCTAGGTCTCGACCTCGATGAGGGATTCGGGGCGACCCTGTTTCCGAAGGTAGCAACGCAGTGCACGTCCTGATGGATGAGGGCATGCACTGTTCGCACGCCTGGTTTGCAGCTGTACACTGTTCACGCACATACCCATTCATAGACACGTGCACCCACTCGTTGGTAAGTTCATTCATTCGTTCATTCATGCATGCATTCAGTCAGTCAATCAGTCAGTCAGTCAGTCAGTCCGTCAGTCGTTCGCTTGCTCGCTGATTCGTTCATGCATTAACTCATTTGTTAGAACGTGCGTTCATTCACTCATTCCTTCCTTCCTTCCATTCCATTCCGTTTCACTCCGATCCATTCCATTTCACATTACATTCCAATCCATTCAGTCACTCACTCATTCATTCACTTATTCATTCATCCATTCTTGATTTCATTTCACGTCGCTCCACTTCATTTCATTTCGCTCATGCATTCATTCACATGTACACGCGTACTTACCTACAGGGATGCGCGCTACACACACATGCACGCAAGGGTGTGCTCTCCACATAGGCGCATGCCAGGGAGTATGCACGTCTGCACATGAATTCATGCGCTGTGTACCCTTATGTGGAAGGACTTGGGTCTACCCATCCCCCTATCCATGTGGGCAGTGGGACGACTGGGGACCTGTCAAATGCAATCTCGCTTTTTTGCTGCGGGCGGCTCGTCATTGTCAACTCTCTATTGCTGCGAGTGCCGTTGCTTTAAATAGGTGTTGCACAGTAGGGTTCACCGATTTAGCTCCTGTCTTCTGGCGATTGCTGGCTCTACTGCTCGGTCGAGTTTGGAGGTGCCCCACAAAATGATTGCTCAATTCCTGCTGAGCCCCACGCAGATCCACTCGAATTCCAGCGCGGCCGGGTCCTCTGCGGAGCCGCTGGGTGCCGAGGCGAAGTGTGCCTTGCTTCGGGCCCGGTGAGCCGAAAGGAGAGAAGGGAAAGATTGCACTTTTGGTATCGCGTCAGCGCATGCCATCTAACGTCTATGTCTATGCTATATTGTACTTTGACACACTGGTAAAAGGATACATGGGGTGAAAAGGGTAACTCATCTGCATCATCTCATGCTGTGGCCTAGTTTGATGATGAAATTATAAAAAGACACGGTAGACTGGCGGACAATGTACTAGATGACAAGGTGAGCCATAGCCAACCATGACATGCATTGCTGTGCAACGTTCTTCGCGCATTATTCCTGTACTTCTTAAGGAAAAGGCAATGGAAGAGAGCGGCGTGTGGAGCTTTTTCCTCGGTGGGGAGCTTGAGGCTTGTTTGCCTTGTCGCATACATGATCAGGCGCGCACCACGTGTTTTAGCCCTGTGATCTCGGGATTGAACACGCATGAAAGCTCCTAATGGTAAGCTTAAAGCAAGCCTTAGAGTAGCCTCGTCAGACAGAACTCCAGTATAGTACCGTTTCACCTGGTAGTAACCCTTATAGTCAACCCCGGCAACAACAGGCCTCCCAGTACTCCTGGCAGCCGTAGTCGGGTGGCTCGCCTTGGAGCTTGACCCAAACATACAAGCACCAGTGTACACTGTCTGCGGGTGCGGCCGTCCGTACTCATATGGATGCTTTAGGCGTGTGTGTGTATATATATATGGGCCTTGAACATTCAGCCTTGCGAGCTCTTGTAGCTGTGCATGTACACAGGCTTGGACCTTCGTCAGACTGTGCAGAACCTGCTGTTCGAGTTCTCGGGACGTTCGTTCCCCCTTAAGCTGGATTCTGAGAAAAGCCGCGGCTGTAGCCCACCCTGGACATGCAACGAAGCGGCACTGATAATCGTCCCAGAGATCGTCAGCCATGAACTGGCCTGGAAAAGCTGGAATTTATCCCAAACTGTAAGTTATTCAGCTATCCATAACAAGTCTGGCAGTTTGGAGAGTTTGCGCCTGCCTCTGTCGCGCTCGCCCCCATATCCGCAGCCATGAGCGCAAACGGAAAGCGAGGGCTCAGATCACTCCGTTTGGAATGTTGACATCTACACTTACACAAAATACTAGAATCTCCTACAGCTGTCTGTCAACCTCGATATGGTCTTAGCAAGTCTCGCGATACTTCGGTGAGCAACATACTTTACAATGCTCGCGGAAGTCCTTCCGCCAGACGAAGGGGCGGCTGCGATTTTCCAAGTTTGCTGGAAAACCCTGCAGAGCGCGATCAAGGGCTGCCTCCACCTCCTCGCGGAGCGTTCGCTTCCCGCGGCTCTCCATGATGAACTCTTCGACGGCGCCACTGTGCGCAGCAGGCGGGTTTGAAGGTGCTTGCAGCTGCCCCAGGGTTCAAACAATAAGCAACTTGTGCTCGGGGAGCAGAGATTGGAGCAAGTCTTGTAGTCTAGTCTCGTTTTGATTCCCCACATCACGCGTAAAGCCTGTCTCACACCAACATTCGCTTGCAGCCCCAGCTTCGAGGATAGAGTTCCTACTTCCTGCAGGCGAAGCCCATGTAGCTTCAGGTCACTCCCCGGACTAAATGCCACAGGAAGCTCCACCCACGACTATGCTGACTACATGCTTCGCTGGCTGTGCTTCCGCCTAAGCCGTCGGACATGTGCCGCGAGCTCCGATGGCCGGGCTTCGCGTGGCAGGAAGAGCCTTCGCAAAGTCTGAAAAAAGACTGCCGTGGTGAGGATCTACTACGCCACCGAGGCTCCGGCAGCCGCAGGTCTAATTCGCCAGCATCTACGCCTGAGCAGAACGAAAGAGCTCGCTTGGGCCTCTTTGTCAAGCGGCCCCTCCATTCGCCTGGCTTGGCCAGGCAGCAGAGGAAGCGACGCCTCTCCAAATACAAGCGGACTGCGGGGCTTCACCAGAACTTTATGTCCGGAGCCCTTCCTGTGGTCTGCATAGTCCACAAGACTCTTCAGCACGCGCTTCATGGAAGAGCCTCAAGGCTGCTCTGTCACTCAATGCTCCATCTGCAGACTCGAACTCGGGGAAGCGCCAATCTGCTGGATGAACTTCGAGCGCTTCTGCAGAAAGCCTGAGTCACTGATTAGAAGAGCGGCCACGACGACAGCGATATAGCATCAGCACCAAGTGGCAGCAGGAGCGGCATAACCACTAGCATCCGGAATGATGATGATGATGATGATGATGATGATGCTGGTGGTCGTGGTGGCGGGATTCAAGCAGTTACCTGACTCAGATACGAAGGGCCCTCTGTCGTGTCAAAACAAATCAACCCTAGACCTTGCTCACAGTGGCGCGAGCAACAAGGGTCCTGAAGAAACCGCAGCAAGAAACTTGGCAACGTTGGCCAGGTTCGGAGGCATCAAAATGCGAAGGTTTCTGAGGGTACCCACTGTTGAGTCATAGCGATGATACTAGTAGTCATGCGGAGTGCACACTCCATGATATTATTGGGTTCTCTCGCGTTGGTGTGTGTGTGTTACCTTAGCTAAACTTCAATCTGTTACATTGCATTACATCAGCTTGCAAGACATTCTCTGACATGGCAGTGCGATTGATTCTTGACACTACATACATGTATGCACACATGTGCACACGCATACAAGCATTTATGCATGCATCCGTCCATCCATCCATCCATCCATCCAGCCATCCAGCCATCCAGCCATCCAGCCATCCAGCCATCCAGCCATCCAGCCATCCATATCCGTCCATATCCGTCCATATCCATCTACATCCATCCACATCCATCCACATCCATCCACATCCATCCACATCCATCCAACGTCCATCCAACGTCCATCGGTCCATCCGTCCATCTGTGCATCCGTCCATCCATCCATCCATCCATCCAGCCAGCCAGCCAGCCATCCATCCATCCATCCATCCATTTGTCCACCCATGTGTTCATCCATCCATCTGTGCATGCATGCATACGTATACACGTACATACATACATACCTACCTACCTACCTACCAACATACCCACGTACGTATGTACGTACCAACCATCACACATAACTCTTACATAGCCATCATACATAACCGAACCACCATACACGCAGATTATACATGATCATACACACTCATATGCGTACATGCTTGAATAACACATGCCTTCGTACTTACATACATGCACACATACGCATGTGCAGCCACGCACACTCCTGCCAGCATAGAGGCCGTGTTTCGTGCATTCCTAGTGCAGTCTACTACCAATCGAAGGCACCAGTTGAGCCGTCACACCGCTGCTCTGAACTCGGTGTAGGATGCCAACCCTAAATTCTGTGGCTGGGCTTGCTGCCAACATCTGGGTTCTCTTCAGAAAGCTCCTTCTGCACAGAACGGCCCAGCGATGAGATGATGTGGGAGTCTCTCCACTGAAGCAAAGATGGTGCGGAAGTTTAGAGAAGGCTTAGCCGTTCCTATCCTCGTATCGACCTTTTCTACCATGAGGGGCCACGAGGCTCCCCGTTGCCCCTTGCGATAGACCAACAGGTGAAAGCCAAAGCATTCGAGCTCAGCGTGACACGACACCCCGTAAGCCTACAGCTTCAACCCCGAAAGCATTGCCGCAAGCCCATAAACACCATAGCTCGACTAAGACTCATTGAAGCCCTCCAGATCTGGAGCAATCCTGGATGACCTCGGAGAGGTTGGCCTTCAAAGGAATCGACAGCGAGAGGATGTAGGACCGTCGTAGGTTCAGGCTTACGGGCTTACAGTCCAGAGATTGCTGCGTGTTTCAGGCTCGCTGCTCTACAAACTTGGCACACTTGGGCTCGAGGGCTTAGGGGATAGAGCTTGGGCCATCTTTCGGATTCTGGCATTCCGACTTAGCCGCCAACGTAGCAAACACAAGAAGATGAGAACCGATGACCCGATGTGTCTCGGCACGAGCGAACACGTGCTACGAAGCGGATTATTTCCTTGGCGGGGCTGATAACACAAGCTCGCAGACCTAAACCCTAAACCGTATCCCCCCTTAAGCCCGAAACGGCCTCGTCCCACCGCTGGGCAAGGTAGTCTGCCAGCTGCAACCCACACCTGGACAAAACACCGAAGCCCAGGTCGTTCGTCCGAACCCTGCTCACCTCTCCACCGTACATAATCATCCTAATTTGTCCTGCAGTAATGGCATAATGGTTCGTGGGGGTATGACCAAATGATAACCCACACCACACACTTTAGACATCATGGCTACCGTGAGTTTGGCCCTGAGTATGCTGCCAAAGTGTACAGGTCGAGGCCGCAAAGGACAGTCGCATTCGACCTCTGGCTGGACATCTGCTAGCTGCCGATGCAGAGAAGAGCTTGGGCGCCCACCGCCCAGGTTGGCAACTTTGGCCACTCCCTGCGGGTGACACGAGCTAACAATCCCTCAAACGCAGGAAAGACGAAAGACGCCACGTGCTCTGTCTTCGTGCAGGGAGGGGACCCTTGACAGGCCCGCCAGCTGCTCCAAGGATTGCGCCACGCGCACAGGAGCCTGCGAAAGGCTTCACGGACGTACAGCCAGGGCGAGGCTAACTCCAAAACCAGGCCCCGCTCCTTGGCATCGAGAAGGCACTGAAACGCGAGCAGGGCCTCAAAAGGCCACAACATTCCTCTGAGCTTTTCGGACAACCAGAAATGGAACAACAGGGGTGGGAACACAAATGCTGCGCTGCATCAGAGGCTGACTAAAGCTGAGCCCTCTGCATTCACCAATGAGTCTGCACCTCTGCGTCTGCAACGGGCATACGTTTTCTCTCCCAGGAATCATTGGGATGATAATGACCGGTGACAGCCACAAAGACCAGGACCATGATGGTGAAAACGCTGATGATCAGGAGGACCAGGCTGACCAGTATGATGAACATGACGATAAGTTACCGGCGCAAGAGGAGGATGAGAGGAAGAAGGAGATCAATTCCATCATCGCTGGCACACCATGCACTCAGAGCTTCAGCACGAAAGGCCATGGATTGCACTTGCAGCATGCCCTTACGCCCTAAATCATTTTTCATCTCCGAACTAAACTGTCTCATGTGAAGGGCTGTACCACTCACACCACTCTTGTGGCTCTCAGCTTGCCGAACCCATGCTTCTGCCCCTTCAACAGCTAACATCATGGACGGGAGTCTGCGAGAGATGTCAGCATGACAGCAAGGCACCTGCGCCGAGGCATGCTCCGCTTGAGAGGAAGTCGTTGCAGGCAGTTCCAAAGGCGGCCTCGGGATGAAAAGCAGTTCCCAAGCCCGACCTGGGTGTAGAGTGGATCAGACAGCGTCACTGTGCGGTTCGACGAAGAAGGTTCAGCATGGCATAACCTTCCCCCTGAAACCCATTTCCCCCAGGAACGAAAGGACGAAAATCGTCAATGTCCTTCATTTTTTCTGAAGGGCACCTCCGGCCGCGGCCGCATGCGAGCCAGAGCCGCCTCTGCTTGGGTTTTTGATGGCGGTTCCGATGCTCAAACCTACGACGCAATTTCTTCTCAATCTGTCCTTGTCTGCTCTGCTCTGCCGTGTTCCAGAGCATCCTACTGCCTGTCCAGGTTGAGGGTTTAGGGCGCTCGTGGTCATAGTCGGGTAAAGACCCCATCAACCTGCGGAGTCTCAGAGAGCGCTTTCAACCCGGGAGCTCGGAAGCCGCCAGGCCTCATCTTCGGGAATCAGCTCCGGGGCTGCACGCACAAACACCTCCTTTGCCAAAAGGCGCCAGAAAACGAGCGGCCTCTGGCATCCGGACCTAAACCTCTTGGGCAGACGTGATTCTCGTCGCAAGTGTGCCGACCTGCAAGTGCAGATAGCGACCCTGTCCTGCGCAGCCGCGAAGAAGACAGACGGAGGAAGCATTGCAGAGTCACCCACGCCAAGCCTTAGACTCTCGGAGCGCGCAAGGGGGATTCCCAAGGTCTTGAAGAAGGGCTGGAGTCGAAAAACAGTGTGTCTGAGATCATGACCTCTTCGAGTGCACCAGGTTCTCCGTCACCTTGCGCACCTTCTTCCATTTTGTGCATGATACAAGGCAGCTACTAACACCTGCACCAGGAGATCACAGGACACTTCATTACTTGCTCCCGATTTTGCGAAGCTAGCCTGCAGCTGGCCCTGCCATCAAACCTCGCAATCCCGACCTGCCCCATAAACCCTAAAGGCCCTAAACCCACGAAACCTGCTCTGCCGACCTACACACACACCCCCTCAAAGAGAGCGGCCAGAGCAACTCCGGGCCCGACCGGGCCAAAGCGGCCTCGTCGTTGAACTGGGAGTGCTGGAGCGCCAGCTTTGCCCGCTCTTCCTCTCAGGTCCCATACATTACGTACACATATAAAAAAAAACTCATAGTTTGTTATATTTTACGTACTAAAAGCTGCATCTGTGTGTACAAGAAAGTGTGCGTCGTTCTGACTCATGTCATACATCTTTCAATGGATGGACTGTACGTTGTATGCTACTCTGTTCATACTGGAAACTGGAACAGCCCCTCTTACAACGACGCGGCGTCATTCAGCATGCTATGGCATTGCATGTTGTAACGGCTCCTGACACTGAAACTTACAACTTTGAGCTGTTAAACCATCATCCAGACCTAGAGTTGTGTCTCATCCACAAAGTGCGAAAACAGAACATGCACGCCCACGCATGCAGCGAACCCCGAAACAGCCCATGAACCGTGCCGAGCAAGCTGTGGCAACAGGCATATGAAGGCCTGCAAGCCCTCGAAGCCCACAACCGCAAGCACAGCTCCGCGTGTCCTGTACTGCTGAGTGTTGAAGCTCTTGCTTCTACAACCAGCGCTATACCTACTCTTGTGACGAGGTCCTCCAGCTGACTCCGAAGCTTTGCCAGGTCTCCCTGCTCCTTGCTGAGGTCTTCTCGTCCTCAAGCTCTGGGATCTGGAGTTTTGCTCGCATGCGATCGATCCATATTAGTTTCACTGGCAGGGTGACACCAGCACCAACAGCAGCAGCAGGCTGCAACAGGCAGAAGCAGTAGCAGGTGTAGGTCTCTAAGGCTTGCACTGAGGGTTCAGGGTTTTACGGCTCATAGGGTCTAGGTTTAAGCAGATCAACCAGAGTTCCATTTCCAACCCATTCGCTACAAGCCCTAAGCTGGTCCTCGCTTAAGGCGCCGCTGCTGCTTCTCGAGCTGCAGCTGATCCTCCATGCAACGAGGAGTTCAGGGTTCAGGGTCCGGAAAACGCAACAAGATGTCATCTAGCGCATGCACGTTCCATCCTCATCAGCACACTACATAGATCTACATAGTACGGGTTGAGACTGCAAACCTATCGATTCACACGAATGTAGTGCCCGATGATGGCTTGGCAGAAATAGAGAAGCTTCGGAAAAAGGAAACAATCACACAATCACAACATCGGAGCTCGCCCCTGAACCCGTAGTGGGCCTATGCTGCGAACGGAACTTACGCTCGATGCCTCCTGGTATCTTGCCAGCTTTTCCTGGCCAGAAGTCTGCTGTCCAGCTGGAAGGAAAAATCACCGATCCAGGCAAGATATCAACCACGTTCAATCATTTCACAGCTGCATCTCTCTCGTCATCAGCATCGCCGGACTCATGGTTCACAAGCACGACAAACATCTGAAGTGCTCGTGCCATGCTTGTAGACAATGAATCACCCATTCCTGAGGCATGCACCAGCTAAAGGAAGTACCTGGACAATTCCAAAAATCCAAAAACCTGAACCTTGAAATCGCAGCACTTCACAGGTGAACCGGCCTCGAGCTTCTCGGTAACACTCCTCAGGCGTCTCATCCCGGAGCTCACCTTCTTTATCCTGCGCAGCTTCAGGTCCCGTCGAGTTTTGGGCTACGCTTGTCCTCTTCTTGCAAAGACCCTCGTCTGCCGTATGCTCTGCTGGCATCTTGTTGTGCTACAACTGTGGCCACGATGTTCCCCGGGAGAGATGAGAAGCAGCCGACAATGATGATCATGATGATGATGCCATCAACAGGAATGGAACGAGGAAGAGAATGAGAAACACGAGGTAGACCACAGGAGGCATAATATGACAATGAAGAGGCAAATGAACATAGCCTTAATGCTGGTGGCGGAGATGCTGATGATGATCATGCTGATGATGGTGGTAATCGTGACGATGGTGATGATGATGATGATGGATGATGATGATGATGATGATGATGGTGACGACGATGACGATGATGATGATGATGATATCATGATCGTGGAAATGGTGACAGATCATGATGACCACAATTTACAGCTCATGGGTACTGGAAAGAAAAGTCTGCGATATGCAGCTCGGTGATTACATGGCGAATAGTGCGAGAAGAAACGCGAAAGTGCACTGCACAGACATTGCATTCATCCGAACGACGATGCAATATGCATGCATATGTATACATATATATATATATATATCTAATATGTATACATAGACATAATTACATGTACATTGTAGCTGTGTCTTGCCAAATGCTGCGGTCCTGCATCACACTGACAAAAGCATTGGACCAACTGAGATAAAGGCTGGTTTCTTGTGCATGCATGCGCTCGTTCACACGGGTCTTTATAAATACACGATTGGTTGAGGGTGTACATACAATGAGGGTCCAGGTTGCCGGCTCGGGCCCCGAATGGCATCCTCCTATCGAAGCCACACTTGCACAAACAGCAGCCCTGAAACCGAAAGCCTAAACAACCCTCGATGCTATTCATGCTCACAGGAGGAAACACATACGAAGAGCAGGCGTAAATCCTAACCTCCAATTGTTTGAAAGCCTCAACCCTAAATCCACCACTTTCACCACAGTGGGGTGCAGGGACCGCAGAGTTACTTTCGCCTTTGACAGTTCGGTTGTCGTTAAAAGTGTTCCAAGGTGAGGGTTGCTAGACTGATTGCTGCGCGATCATAACCGATAATATGGTGGTCGAATGTAACCCCTCCTTGTCCGACGGGGCTTTGGGATGGAGGGGAAGGAGAGGACGGCCACGAGCACTTCAGAAATGATACACGGCCGACACCAGAACGCGAGCATGTCAGACAGGAAGGGGGGAGAGATGGACTTCATGCGAACGCGGGGTGGGAGGAGCCCGTCATTTGCTGCCAGCATTTTTCACTGCTCGTGCAGAGCTATTTCTCTTGTACGGTTCATTGCTTGTCACGTCCATCCGTTGACGGTGGGTTTAGCTGATGAGTGTGTCTGTGTGTGTGTGTGTGCAGGCATGTGCTGCCGCCTTTCCTCTAGCAGAGTTTCGCCTTTCTGAGAATTGCTCTCATTCCAAGAACATTTCACCCACTCTTGTGAGCCATGTGTTTCGGCTTCTTTTTCAATATGGTAGTGGGCTCTGATTTGTCATGCTTCCATACCATCTGCTTCTGGTGCTATTAGCTGAGGACGGAGTACTGACAACTTGTCCGTTTATGCTATCTGGTGTCTTGTTCCCTGAGGACCGCTTGTAGTCTGCCTGCTCTGACTTGCTAATTTGAGCTATGCGCTGCTAACACTACACCTACAACCATCGCGGAATCACCAAGATTGGTGTCGGCTGGGATATGTGCTGCCTTGGAACAATGGAACAAGCATCTTCGGGAGATCCTCCTTGATACGGAGCGGGCGAGGCCCTCGTTGTCTTGGCGCGCTGCCGACGGAAAGTCCTGGCGGGTTTTAAGCACAGAAGTTGATACATGAAGCCCAATTCTCGGACACCAAGATCCAAGTAAGAGACCCCCCGTCTGTCACTTGCCGGGAAAGAAGCGTTCGAGGAAAAGCAGATTCCGTACGAAGGAGGCAAGTTACGGAAATTCGATTTTCTAGCTTAGGTGTGACTGTCCATGGAGCGAGATTTCATGTTCCCCCCCCCCAAACACCGAGCTTGCAAGGCTCCTCGCCATCCTCCCACTGTTCCTGAAGTTGATCATACACTCGACACATCCGTGAATATCTCTCGTCCCAGCGCAAGAAAGCTTGTCTGTAAGCTGCGGGAACGTCTTTAGCTGCCGAAGTGCTTAGAGCTCCACTGCTAGAAGACTTGACAGCATTGCTGCTTCTAGCCACTACCACCCCTACTGTCAAAGCACCACTACTACGTTTACCACCATCATGCTACTACCAGAGCTGCAGCGAGGCCTCCATGCCCTGAGCTAGAACCTGCACCGGCAGACTCACTTTGGAACAAATGCACGCACCGAGGGAATCCAAACACAGACAAAAACTACGTCTGTGATAATGCTCGTCGCAGCTTCGTCATCATCATGACCAGCAGCATGATCATGATCAAGAACATCACCGTGGCATACCGTGGCCATCACCGCCGTCGGCATGACCATCATATTGCCACCATCGACATCATGACGACCGTCATCGTCATCATCACCGCCGTCCATGGCATCACACTCATCGCCATGATACTGGTAACTGAAGCTACTACCTGTAAATGTGCATCGCTGTCAAATGTGTACTGCTGTCAAGCCTTCGTATTGGCGGTTGTATGTGCTGACAGTTGGCATTGGAATTGCAGCTGACATGTTGCTGACAGAAGCATCCGGAGAAGGCGGCAGCAGCAGCAGCAGCACAGCAGCACAGCAGCACCAGCATAGTCCTCAAACCCTGGACCCTCCGAAAACTCTATGAGCCCCTACGGAAAGCCACCCAATATCTGCACCTGCCCAAATCCCAGCTCACCTCATGGCCGCGGCCCGGTTCCATAACCCGGAAATGATGGGATCCACAGTCTGGGCGCCTAACGATTCTGCCCCAAAATAGAGGGAGCCATAAGATCCGAAAGAGGTACCAAGAGGAACCCGAGCAATATTTCGACTCATCAGTCCTTGTGCTTCCTGCTACTGGCACTCTTGGCTTGCTTGGATGGCTGATGTGTTCCGAACACCCGGCTCTTCGTTTATTCTTGTTCTGATGCTTGACCAGCCTTCATTTTCTGACGGATACAATGAGAAATATGTGGTCATTTCCAGCATCAAGGATGCAATTTAAATCGACGAATACCGCTCGCTCCCTTCATTCCTCTCTCAGCTCGACATTCTGCCACTGTGGGCCTTGTCATCCAGACGCCAGATGACACCGTCACTGCCTCCGGCTCCAGTTCAACGCAAGTTGCATTGTAGCTGGTACGACTACAAACTCGTCCTCTTTCTAGAGGGATTGCTTAATTCCTATGCGCACTAACATGAGTTCATTGTCTGATGCACCTTGCCTCACCACTTCCTTCTACAGCCACAGGCGCTAACAACAAGAACTCGGAGCGATGAACGGCGGTCCGCCTGCAGGCGGCAGGCCATCCGCCGGCATTGGCCTGACAAACCGAACAAACGAGGCGGGTCTCGGGAGCTGAGAAGGGAGGTGCCCATTTCGGCCTCAACTCCAGGCGCAAGTGCCCGGACAGAGGAGTAATGACCTCACTCTGCTTTGCCAGAGCACCCCTGTGCGTGTGAGGCTGCGATGAAGTCGAAGGGAGTCCGCCCAATGCTTGGCTCAGGCTCCCGCCCAGGCCTCGCTGCTGCGATGCACGAAGACGTCCAGCCCCTCCCAAAGGGATGCAATCGCATGGAAAGGAGGAATTCTGGTGGAGGCGGAGGTGCCCTTGTCGCAGAACACGAAGCCTGTCACCGCACCTCCTTCTGCTCCTCGAGCATGGCAAGAGCCCCTTCAGGAGAGCCGAGGGAAGCAGAGAAACAAGGAACTTGCCGGGAGCAAAGGAATCTGCCTGAGTCGAGGTCGTCGACGGGATCGTCACCGACTGCGTCGACGAGCACACTGGAAGCCTGGAAATGAGACCAACGGATTCGATCTTGTGAGAAGAAGCTTACTCGCCGGGCGCACCTCCTCGCTTTCGGTTTGGATGCCGGGTGACGCAGTGGCCACGTTTCCGGTTCCCTCTGTCTCTTTGGCTGTTGGCTCTACAGGACTCGACCCACCCGACTCCAGAGCCCTGCCCACGTCATCGGAAGATTTCGTTCTCCTCTGACACATCGGCTGCTGTGGGTGTGCAACCTGGACGCCAAAGAGCCGGGAGCCCCCGTCCTTCGTCGGAGCCCCGGCAGGCGGCCACTCGGAAAATCGCTAGGCATGGCTTGCTATGAAGTTTCCGTGGCAGGATGATGCACGATGTGTCCATCGTTGGGTCGAAGCGTTTCCGGGCCGATGGCATGACCATCTGTCTAAAGCCCCCTCAGATGTTTATCCTTCTGGCGGTATGAGCCACTGGCCTGCGTACTGGGCATCCCGGCCAGGAGCTGGCAAGAAAACAAAGAAAGCAGCAACACATAGACGGCATCCGCACTGGCTCGAGAACACTGCAGACTGCAGTACCAACATGTACCAACCGCAGCAGCAACAACAAGTACTGCTATTACTACTGCTACTCCCACTCCTACTCCTACTCCTACTCCTACTCCTACTCCTACTCCTACTCCTACTGCTACTACTACTACTACTACTACTGCTACTACTACTACTACTACTGCTGCTGCTGCTACGACTACTACTACTACTACTGCTACTACTACTACTACTACGACTGCTTCTACGACCGCTTGGCAACAAGCGCCCAACTGTGCATATTATCCTATTCCTGTGCCAAGCAAAATCGAGAAATTTCCAAAGTGAATGAAAGCAACCTAACATGAAGTCAACGAAATATTTCAGCTGGACTGATGATTTTGTCTCTGGCCAGGATCGATTCTCGATAACCGAGTGGCCGAGTGGATTCCGACAACCTGCTCTGTAAGAAATGATATATCTTGAACAACGCTTTCTGCTGCAAATGCTAGCTCTAAACTGAAACATGGAACCAGCACACAATGGCCACAACGGCATTTTTGCTGTCGCTTCGCTTGGATTTTTGGGGAATCGGACAACGCGCCCAAAGATTCGAGGAGGCTGTTCCAAGGCACCAAATCGAACACACGACGAACAAGACCAATACTATGCGTCCGGATGGACACTTGAAACCAGCATGTTATAAAATTTGCACACAACCTTCTTTTACACAATTAGTAGACTCAGAAATCCTGATGCGTTTTATCGAGTTTAACGACGTTTACCGTTTATCGGTTCAAGGTTCAGCCTTAAACTTCCGCGCTGGTTGAGCAATAATCTTGGTTTTCGGCAACATAACTCAGCTTCTCTGACAGGCGGCTCGATTCTGAACGGAAAAACCACGAACAAAAGCCAAACTCCCAGGCAAGTAAAACCTGAAATGAGCTTGAGCCTTGTCTGTAAGAGGCCTGCGAATGCTCACTGGCAAGCTTCAAGAGCAGAGCGTGCTTCTTTGAAGTTCCACACAATGAGCATAACAGAGCGTCGGAAAGCAAACCCAAATTGTAGGCATTTTTTGGCGTGGGCGGGCCTCAAAGACAGCAGTTGCTGCACTCGGTCCCAGTAAGAACTACAAGATGTGCAAGAATACAATAACAAATCAAAAGCTGTACAGAGAATACGTATCCTTAACAAGGTGAAACAGGCTGCGACTTGCAGACTTAGCCGGCAGGCGTCGTTCAGCCATAAAATGCCCAGCGCTGGCCAACATCGGCTACTCAGAAGCCCCGCTCCCCAGATGAACTGGGTCGCGCAATGGCGCACGCATTGCCTCGTGTCCTGTGGTCGTGTGAAATGACGCGCATAACATGGTCTGCCAGGCGCCAGTCAACTCCGCACCCGTACGAGAAGCGAGTGCACCCTGCACACATCAACCGCATGGGCCCAGCTTCCCACCTGGATGGGTCTCGCAAGGGCAGAAACGTGCAGTCATGGTGGTGGACAACCATTGACCGACCACCGCCGCATGATGACATGGGCAAAAGGTGTTTACTCTCCCAATATGAGTAAATCCCGTGCCCAGCTTCCCATCAGTGTGGATCTCGCAAGGGCACACAAGTGTAGCAGTGAGGCGCCTGCAACGCGTTGTACGAACAGACATTGCGACTGCAGAGCCAACGTGTGCAATAAGAAAGCTCCCGCAGACGTATGGAACCATGGCCCTGCGCTCTGCCCAGCTGAAATGTGCAAGAGCAAATGTCTGTCGTGGCTGCTGGTGCAAGTGTCGCTTGCAGATAGCCGACAATCGACATAGAGTCTTGTAGTTGGCAGCAACCTGAGCAATCAAAATGCGATGGCAATTCCAAGTCCAGCCGAGAAGTGCCGCAAGCAGGCAAATCCAGCAGCACGACCAATCAGAGAAGTGGAGGTGCTACCTCCTAATCCGAATTGTAGGCTGCACAGATTTCGAACATCCTGGACCTTGTCTCGAATTTCATTTTGGCGGAATTTGACCCGCTCATGTTCGAGGCTGAAAAACTTTCGAAAAGTGTGCGCCATAGGCATCTTCCTTGAAGGTGTGGAAAACACTCGGAAACCTGGAAGAAACCGCAAGAACCTGTGGGAAACCCATAGGAAACCACAGGAAACTGTCGGAAACCAGACTGGCAACCATCGAAAATATGAGGGAACAGATTCACACTTTGAGTGAAGATCTTCCAGATCTGTGTTTTGAAGAGCACGCACGGCAAGACAAGAATGCTTTCACATTAAAAAGCAACAAACTAACACCTCTACAAAGCGAGACTGCGACACACAGACTCAGACAGCATCTGGGATCTTTCACGAAGGAGAGACTTCAGTTCGCTGAAAGCTTCGAAGCCTTCGAGGTGACAGTCGAAGGGGAGCTTCAAAGTCCCTTCGCGCCGAAGAGTCTAAAGCCCCTTCAGCTTCGCAAAGACGCAGGAGGCTTTGAAGGCTTCGAAGGGCAGGATGAAGCCCTCGCCTTCGACTCGAAAGGCTTCGAAGACTCTCTCCCCGTCCTCCCCTTCGAAGCCTTCGAAGCTCCCTTCGTCCTTGCCCTTCGAAGGCTTCAAAGTCTTTGTTCTTGCCTTTGAAGGCTTCAAATCCTGCGTTCTGTCCTTCGAAGGCTTCGAAGCCTTCGATTTCTGTTCGTGAATGTTTCTTCTTGTGTCTGTGTGTGAGTGATTGCGCTTTGTTTCGTTTCTTTCGTTTTTCTAATCTTGTTTTCTTCGCAAAACCATCAAAAGCGATTTCACGTGGATTCTTCTTCTTCTGCGTGTGTGTGTGTGTGTGTGTGCTGGCCTTTGCGTTCTTAAACTCTTCTTTTCTCCTTTCTGCGCAAAGATCCCCCGAAAGCGATTTCGTGTGGCTTCTTCTTCTGTCGTGTTCATGATTGCGTTTGTGTCTGATTGCGTTTTGTGTCCTCAACTCTTCTTTTCATTTTATTCTCTTCGCAACAACCACCATACACCGATTGCGCGTAGCTCAGAGGGGAGCCACTCAAGCAAAGCCAAAATTGCTTGGATTATTCGACCCCACATTTGGAGCCGCGTGTGCTGCAGTTGGTCCGCACCCAAAGTGGGCGTCGGCGGCACCGGAAGCTGAACAGGCGTTCCAGACGCAGCAGCTGGAACACTTCCATCGCTTGCACTGAGGCACTTGCAGGTGCAATCTGAGCTGCTGGCTGAGCTGTAAGTGCAGTCTAGGCTGCTTGCTGAGCTGTGGCGAACTGACAGGACCTACAGAGCCAAAAGCAGAGTTGCAACTCAGCGTCCTGGGCTGCAACGGCATCAGCTGTTTGTCTCCAAGCAAAACACTTCCAAGCAAAACGAAACGAAACGAGTGCAGTCACTGACCCAACTCAACAGCTCCTCGCAGCTTCAGACATGCCAAAGCTGCCAAAACATCAGAACATCCAAGATTGCAGAATTTTCACAGCGTCTGTCGTGCAGGATCCTGCTTGTCCGCATGTTTCCAGAATTCAGAAACTGCCACGGGCTGTGTTCTGCCGGAGGATGCGGAAGACTTTGCTGAGCAACAAGAGCTCTTGGTGGAAGCGCCCTTCAAATGCACTGTTGCACAGAGCATGAAGCTTGGAGCTGTGTCTGTCCCGCTTCTCCGGTCTCATCGGGTCTGGCACTGCAGCTCCACCAGAAGAGTTGCTGATGCACGGATTTTGAGCAAGCACTTAACTGCGAGACTCCCCCTCTGTTGCAAAACGGAGGTTGCATCTTCATCTCCTTCAATTTTTTTTGCTCTTTATGTCAGTTCCATCATGCAATCGGAGTCTTGGATTGCCTTCATGGTTGCGTGTCTCTTTTGCACCTTGACTCCAGGTTCATTTCGCTGTCATCTTCCTTTGGCCTCAAGAGGCTTGAGCGCGCGCAAGTGAAGGCTCGAAGGCTTTTGCTTTGGGTCTTCTGCACAGCTCAAAAAATCCTTTTCAGATCTGGTGAAGATACCTTCCTGGAAATTCCGCCGCTTGCACGATCCAGCTCCCACCGGTAACAGAAGTGCAGTTGCGGACTGTTCTTGTAAGGGAACAGTAACAGCCCTCTAACAACAGAAAATGTAACCAGAAGCAAGGCAAAGCCAGGAATGTTGCACATGGGTCCCTGCTAAAAGAGCAAAAATATCTAGCGAGAGCCAGGTGGGCCCATGTCGTGCATGAGCGGGTTTTGGAGTTAAGCACCGTGCACAAATTCCGAACCATCACCCACACCTCTCGACACCATAACTCTGCACAGCTCAAGAAGTCCTGTTCAAATCTGGTGGAGATACCTTCCTGGAAATTCCGCCGCTCTTGTACCCGTTCATGCACTCCGGACTGTTCTTTGAGGGAACAGCAACAGCCGGTCTTGCAGAGGCTGCATGGCGGCTTGATCTGCTCTATTCAGAAATGCTAGAGTCACCTCTGGACAAATTTCCCTGTCTTTGTACGATCTCTTTTTTGGTTACCTCCAAAGCTGCACAGTTATGGGGCTGTCGGGCGACCCCATTTTAAGGCCCGCAGAACACAAGCAATTCTGGCTTCGCCAGATCGGCCCTCCACAGTTGCATTCCGCTGGCTGCAGCACTATTAAGGGCGAGCACACAGCTGCCTTGGACAAGTTCCGACCTTCCAAACGGTCCTCCACCAGACGCTCCCCAAAGTCATTACAAGCAATGACATGGGCAGCTGACGAGATTCAGCCGCTGTGGGTGCAGGAATCAACTTGCGACCCCAAAAATGGGGCCGTCTCGCGGTCCCAGAAAAGGGCCGCGAAATCCAGCCAAGCTCCTTTAACAT